TTATTATTAATGCGCCACCTTCTCAACTAAGCCGAACCAGGGGTGGCTAAAATGTGACGCAATGGTAGGTAGTGTCAGGGATCTTTTGATAATAATCCTCTGGTAAGTCGAAATCAAGAAACAAAAGGGACATAATCTGGTGGTTTAATGTATAAAATCTTTGGAAGCGAATTCGTATTTGAAAATTGATTGGCAAAAAAGTGGTAAGTTAGGTAAGGTAAGGTAAATATATAGGCAGTCGTTAAGAACAAAAAATGGCATGTTTGGAAATATAAAATACCAAATATGTAGGTAAAAAATGATAGGGTAATGATTTGGAGAAATAATGTATAATATCAACAATAGAAGTAAAAAATATCTAAAAAAATTGATCGGTAACAGACTAGATAACGTAAATCGGGTAAATTTATTGGTATACTATCACCAGTACGTAACATAGTTGCAGTTTGTAATTTTAAAGATATTCCTGTATCAATGATCTTTAGATTCATCTTCTTCATCAGTCGTTAACCCTAAGACTGGTTGGTCACGCATCTCCGCCCTTTCTTTTCCTGAGCTAATCTTCGCATTTCCCTAAAACTTACAACAGCCTTAATCCTTAACTATTTCTGAACAATAATTTAATCTAGGTCGACCTCTTAACTTCTGTTTCTGCTTCCAGTATATCTCTAATTAGTCCTTCATGCCTGAGAAGGTGTCCTACCAACCTATTTCTTATTGTCTTCCATAATGTTTTCTATTCTCTTGCTTTTTCTGATACCTCTTCATTTTTAACTTTCTCTCTCCACGGTGTCCCAATTATTCGACTGTAACCCCACATTTCGAACGCATTATCAACGGAATATTGCATTACTGGAGGAATTAAACGATTTTTTTATCAAAAGGTTTTTGTTTAATTGAAAAAACTAAAAGACGTTTAGCGAATTACAATAATTCTAATGAAAGTGGTAGAGAATGTTACTTTTACTGTAATATTGTTGCTACCTACTGCAAATGTTTGACGAGTGTAATAATGAGAAATATACTTTTATCTATTCGAAATGATTTTAAGTTGCACCAGAACTGTAGGCGATGATTGAAGTTATTATTTCATCGCGGTTTTTGGGTTACGGTTAAGATTAGAATTTTACTTATAGAAAATAGTTTATTTTGAAAGTGCATATTGGCACCAAACCATGCACCTAATCATAAAACTATTTTACCTAACAATATAACTGGGTTAGAACGTTTCGAATAATGCTATACCTACATGCATTTTATTGTTTTCTAAACGCAAAGATGGTCAAATATATTAAGATTAAGGATTTTGCAGAATTACCATTAAATATAAATCTATTATTGATCAATTTCTGTGATATTAACTTATAGTGATAATTATTATTTGTTTGTTTTAATGTTCAAGTGTAGTAGTGGCTAAATTGTGGCGATTTTTTAAAATTTCTCGTATCTTAAATTACGGTTTTATTCCACAGCGAATTCATAGGGTTTTAATTGTTTTAATTGCGTAAACTTAGCAACAAGTACGTTGAAATAATTGCAGTTAAGTGACTTAATAAGCAGTAGCAACAATAATAATTACCTAGATTAGGGGTTGGTAAGCTTTTCAAGATAAAAGAGTCAAATTGATAAGGAAAATAGACTAACAAAGGTGTCAAAGTATATCATCATCGTAATACGTAATACTCCGAAACCTGGTTAGTTATGCAACTTCCTATTCCGAACTAATTTTCCAAAAACTGGAACATTTTAACTATGTTCAAAGAGTAATAATCTAGTCTTGGGGTCCCTTTTGTCTCCGAAGGTGTTTTATCGTAGGATAGGTTAGGTTAGGTTAGGTTAGGTTAGGTTAGGTTATGTTTGTTTTCATTATTGACTTCCATAGCGCCCTTAATTCTTCTACTTTCTCTTATACCTCCCCATTCCTTCCTGCCTTATTCTATCCACAATGTTTACATCACCTCCCTATGGTAGCTTTGTCAACCTATCGGTCCGAAGCAACTTAAAGTGGTTCACCTAATGATAAGGAGCCATTTTATGACGCTGTACGCGGTTTTAACTTTTAAACTCCAAAAGTGGCCGCGCTCTTACAATTAGTGATTTGAGGCAGGGCCACCCTTAAGAGACCAAAGAGTCAAATGACCTAATAAATGAATATTTTTTTTTACAAAAGTACTAATTCGGGAATTAACCGACCACCATATTTAGTGGAGTCACTTTAGGAAGGCGAAGTCTCTAATAAATTATTATTGAATTGAAAAAGAATATGTACAACTCCTTAGTTATTATTTTAGATGCAAAAAAGGTGGATAGAAGTAAGGGATGGAATGCTGTAGGTATATTTTCAGGTTTGTGGAGCAAGGTAACAAGAAGTAGATTATTTGAGAGCAAGTTGTATCAAAATTATAATTATGTGAATACAAAATTGACTTATATACGAAATAACAAAATATTTGAGTGTATGTATGGACGGATATGTGTAGGTAGAAGTGAAATGTAAGAGGGTAGTTTTCGGCATTGCTATAAATATCAGCGTTTATTCGGAAAAGAACAAAGCGTTTGCCAATACATGCAAGAAATTAAATTTTATTGTTTTTCGTAAGGGAATATATAACCAAGGTCTAAAATCACGCGACGCGAGAGTCAGAGCCCGCTCGTGTTTTATCGCTCGTGATAACGCCAAGGTATCGGGTTTTGCGTCACGGAGGCCTTCTGCTTACATAAAGAAACACGGTGTTATTAATTACAGCCCCGATTTCCAATTATTCTTTCTTCTAGGCGGTTAATTATTCGCCAAACGAAATTTCTTTGAAGTCCCGTCCGGATATCGGTATCCGTGCACCATTGAAATTAAAAATGGACTCGCAGGCTACTGATGCCGTTTGATCAGGAAGGTATCAGATAAATCGGTATCAAAGAACCGCTTTTCAAAGGGTTCGAATAAAGGAGGAAAGAAAGGAAACTCCGCGATTCCCCCGCAAAAAGAAATATCTAATGTTACCCCTTTACTGCGATTTATAATGGAAGCGTTGAAAAACTGACACAAAGATGACCGCAAATGGGGCAATTCCTACGTAAATTTAAAGAACCAAAACTGTTTTTCATTTCGTTAAAGCTACTGTAAGTGTCTGCCTTTCAAAAATTTCTTTATCTTATCTAGAACCTTAAAAAACGGTATACATGCTTTTGGTCCTTCGAGCCGATTAATAAAATAAAAGAGTTGTCGTCATTCCTATGTGTCTTCTATTATCTTCCTTAATCAATATGATATTCAAAGCTTGTCTGCATAAACGTATCGTAACATTTGCTCGCTCTCGTTCTCTAGAACCTTAAAAAACGGTATAAATGCATTTGGTCCTTCGAGCCAGCTAATAAAATAGAAGAATTGTCGTCATTCCTGTGTCTTCTATTATCTTCCTTAATCAAAATGATATTCAAAGCCTGTCTGCATAAACGTATCGTAACATTTGCTCCCTCTCGTTCTCTAGAACCTTAAAAAACGGTATAAATGCATTTGGTCCTTCGAGCCGGTTAATAAAAAAATAAAAGAGTTGTCGTCATTTCTATGTGTCTTCTATTATCTTCCTTAATCAATATGATATTCAAAGCCCGTCTGCATAAACGTATCGTAACATTTGCTCCCTCTCGTTCTCTAGAACCTTAAAAAACGGTATACATGCTTTTGGTCCTTCGAGCCGGCTAATAAAAAAATAGAAGAGTTGTCGTCATTCCTATATGTCTTCTATTATCTTCCTTAATCAATATGATATTCCAAGTCCGTCTGCATAAACGTATCGTAACATTTGCTCCCTCTCGTTCTCTTTATGATACATTAAATTGCTGAGCGTTATCCTCCCCCTCTCCTCCGCCAAACGTTAAGTAGTTTATGGTCATCTCCTACGTGTGCCCGGTGCATTCACGATTTTATTGATTTTATAACAGCAACGACGTATTTTATTAGGTTATATCGAAATTGTGGCATGCGTGTTAGATTTCTAACGAGTGTAAACTATTTAGATAAAATTTATGGGGGACCATCAAAGCCAGAGGAGATTACTTTACGATCTGAAGGAATTTAAAGATGTACAATATATTATACGTGTATTTAAGTACTTGTATACGTTCGCGTTTCGCTCTCGAAATGCGTCTTGCGATAATTTAGAGTTTATTAACTAAAGTGGACTTGAATATGTTTCCTTGATTTTCCACTCTTTACCCGGCACACGTTTTGATCGCAAGAATGCCGACGCTCGGGATGCGTGTTCTCCAAAAAGACATAAACTGCATTTTGCAAACGTGGAACGTTATCATGCAATGATGGCGGTGAGGGTCCCGTGTATAATAAAATGTCGCAACGTTCTTTATCGCGATGGAACAGTGATAACAACGCGAAATATTTGTTACAAATATACGGAATAGTTGCGAATTGATATAAATTACATGTTAAGGGCAGGTATATAAATATACCTACCTATGTAGAACGAAACGGGTAAGTGTACCCGGTAACTACCTAACGTTTGTTTGAGAATTTACGAGGCGCTTTTTGATCCTAATTTAGATAACGGGTAATGCATTACTCGTCCCGATCGCGATGTGCTGTCGTCAGAAAACATGGCGAAGTTTATTATTTATTTCTACCCTTTTACTTCGTTTCGAACAATCGATGCAATGGAAAAAATGCATGAAAAAGCATCGTCCTTTACAGGACATTTCAATTGTTCATCTTATTTTTAGATTTCGCGAGAATACCTATAGCAGCCCATCATATCAGTTTCTTCAAATCTTTTTGGTGGACGAAAATATAAAAATATTTATTATTTTCGATTTGGTCCTTCGAGCCGGATTTCCGATAGCAACGTTTCACATTAAGCTTCTTCGGTATTTGTTTGGTTTGTTGGTATATCAAAAATCAAATTCGCTATAATTTAATAGCATCCTTTGATATTAGTATTTTTGGTAGATTGAAACATCAAGAATTATATAAGGCTACAGAAGGAACATACCTCTTTTTCTTTGGCTGCAAGTTCATTTTCGAAATTAGGTTTTTCCATTTTAATGCCCTCTTTTGATTCTTGGTGTCCAGAGTTGGTAGCCAATTGTTCTTTTAAGGTGGTAACTTCTTTTTCGGCTAGAGTCGCCCGCTATAACAATAAAAAAACATTTGTTAATTATGCGTATATGTCTTTGTGAATTTTTTTGTTTTAATTTTTATTATTTAATTGTTTCGCGCTAATATCGTTTGTAGGCGATTTAGTACTGCATTATTGGCCATAAAATTCTCCAACAAACGTTGCACTCGTTAATGACCCTATAATTTCCCACAAATAAGCTGATGCATGTCGCAAACGCATTCTATAAATTGTAGTAATGAATTACAAAAAGTCGGATATATAAAAAAAAAGTACATTGGGAATAATAATTTGTTGTAGCAGAACAAAGGCTGCGTTCAGTGATTTCGAAAACAAAGAAAATTAAAAGTGATTATCATATTATTGGTCTAGTGATTGTCATTCATTATGCTTGAGTGTGCCAAGTAACCACCATGTTTGAGGCATTGGCGCGGAAATTTTGATGGAAGAATAGATACATATTTTAACTTTTACGTTTCTGTTCGATGTTGTTGTACTTACTACCTGTATAGTCACTTTTAATTATAGCACAATCGAACAAACCTGTTGTAAGGTTGCTCAAGTTGGAGAACATTTCGAACATTGCGTACATCGATGTATTCGAATATCTACGAGTTAAGCTTGAGCGTTTTGTAAAAACAATGGATTTTCAAAAGATTAATTGCCTGATATAAATCAAGTAATACTGGTACAAGATTTGTTACTATTACTATGGGTTCCTACTTTATTACACGTCGATGTTTTGTTTAAATTTAAATAAAATTAAGAAATTCTACGGTATTGTGTCATGTCCATTACCAACAGCTTACAATTTATTTTTGACCGATTAACATTGAATTTTATTTGCTATTTGTTAACTGAATTTTCTCTATCCGGCTCGAAGGACCAAAGATTAAGCGACAATTCTTTTGACAAGATGTTAAGTCAACAGTAATTTCGCTGCAGAGGTGGAGAAAAAGTGGCACTAACCACCGCCAGCTCTTTCCAGTTTAGTAATTTTGTGTATCTTTTTCGAAATTTATCTCGCCGAGCGGGCAAACACAGAGTTCGGTGTTTTTGCCTTCGTATCGCGTTCAAATAGCAACTTTTTCGTCCTTGATGTTGTATAATTAGGTAAAAGTTGGAAAGCAATCCGTTTCAGATCCGATAACTTTATTAGTAATCACATCTGTTAATTAACTAAGTAGCCCCTTTCTCTGCCATGATCGAAGAAACTTACAGGGCGGCTAAAGAGTCCATTAATAGATGAACAGAAGCGGAAAACTTTAAATTAAACGAAATTAAATTCTTTTCCGGACAAGAGGGTCTGATAGATCTGTCCGAAGGCTCGTTTGGGAAATTAAACCGTTACTCTTTAACGACCATATGTAACGTTTACTGAATTCACAAAATTAATCCTGAAATTAGTACTTTTTCCATTTAATGATTGGTACAAATAATAAAAATAAATAGCTCTTATCGTTATTTCGTATTACTGGTAAATGATTTTAAAAAACTCCTTTTTTTCTTTTAAATGAAAATAAAATAACATATGTGAGGTTATGGTCATTCTTATTAACTTCGCGTTATTTATCTGCAATTAAATTCTGAAATACAACCAGAAGGCATTAAGTATGTATCATTTACCATGTGGAGCTACACTTATTGTTTTCTTTGTGGTCGCGTAGTTGTGCGAAACCTCATTTTGCACACTGTCTTAAGCTCCGTAAGATGAAAAAAGAGAAAGAGACAAGAAGATCCGATCCCATGATTTAGCACTTGTATCCGGTACACCGAAATATACGATACATAATGAACTTCTACCGCCGCTACCAGATGTCAACGATACGCGCAAAAGTGAAAACAAGAAAACAATAAAAAAAAAGAGAAAGAATAAAACAAACTGCGCGCTGTGATTCATTATATTATTTCGGTTAGGATTATTGGAATACCATTCGTTCCTTGCCTCTACCGACGCTGATGATGGCTATTCCGAATTTATGTAGACGACCTAACTACACCCTACCAAATTACTACTAAATTCATTAAACAGACACAGCAGTCACAATATAGTACACAGAGAAAGGACGGATGCTAAACATTAAAAATGCAACAAGCAATCTTTGCTATAAAACGACCGAGGCAGAATAGTAATTACATAATAATGATCACAGTAATTAGTCAATTGCTAATCGAATCAGTGTTTTAAAAAAATAAGTATATTGTAGACAAGTATTTTTAAATATAACTAATGGTCCTTCGAGCCGGATAATAATCTCTTTATATTAGAAATGTGATGTTTCCCCAGTCACATCGACGCTAATATTAGAAATGTAGGTAGAACGTGTGAGATAGCTGTCTTGCGTTGGGTATTGAAATGAGTGGAAATTCAGACATCTGAAAATGCTTTCACAAACGTGCAGAAACATTATGAAGATCGTGACCTGTAGGCAGGTAACCATTTAATGATAAAGAGCTAAACTATCATATACTGTTACGTGTGCGTACGTCCCCTTTAAAACCCATCATCGCACGCAGTGGAAGACATAATTAAACCTCAGTTTGCAACAATGTTAAGAAAACGTGTTCGGGTAAGTATGTTTAGGCATTTTCGGATACAACAAATTCGGTTACGTTCCCAATTTAAAGGGAAAAAGTTTATAGTGAAAGCAAATTTTGCTTCTACAGGGAAAAAATAACAAAGATGTCTTCTTCCGAAAAGAATGGACAAATTTAAATGTGGAAGAAGAATAAGATTGGATTTATCAGGCTTCTTCAACCATACTTAAGGTTTCGTACCATAAAATTCGTAATAATTTTACTGATTTTTTGTGAAAGCTACATACGTGAGAAGCATTACGGAATCTAATAGTGAACCACTGAACCGTATTTACGTACAAATCATTCAATTAATCTACTTAAATTATATTATATGTAAACTTCACACGTTGCCTGAATACTTTTACATACAATAAAAATAGTTTGGAATTAGGTGAACGAGCAAGAATTTAATTGCTTTGTTAAAATGCGATGTTAAGGATGATGTATTTGCACACCGGTTGATACGTGGATTTGGTACTTTCACTCTTTTATATTTTGAGTTGTTCGAATTAATTAAACAGGAAAGTAAATTTACAACCGTCCATTAAAATAATAAAACCTGATTATAAATATCGATTAACGGTTCCTGTATGTGTAATTGATTCCGTTTAGAAATATAAATCGTGTTTTAATTGAAGAAAATAATTCTTCATATAGTATAATACTTTGATACTATGACGTCAATGTAAGTTTCCTTTTTTTTACTATTAATTTTTTACGTTTCCATTTTACATTGAACCCAACAATAATGTATAACTTAGAATAACCTACTACCTTGATAAAACCTTGTAACCGCAAGCAAAACGTCGGTGTGATTTTATAATCAATAAACTTTTACAACCCTAACCTTGGCCCTGAGTACCGTATAAGTAGATAATAATCGCGGTAATTATCCGATTATCAATCGAAACATGTTTTTTAGTTATACAAGTTCGCTTTATAAATAATTGAAAATAATATTTTATACTGAATTAATGGTCCTTCGAGCCGGATACGAATCTCCTTATATTGTAAATGTGATGTTTTCTCAGCCATTTCGACGGTATTGTAGATAAAAGTAGATTGCAGTGTATTTGTGATTCTTTTTTATTGATTCTGTACAAATCTTGAAAAGACCGAATGAGAATATTCTCGCCAATTTAGGCTAATATTGATGTGAAATTTGTTTGGTGTGGTGCTTCACGTTTAAACGCGTTCACGTCTGAAAATGTCGTGGTTTTTTATTGTAGAAGAAGTATACATGTGTAGGTAGGTTAAAGCGGAAGTGGAGAACGACACGACTTATTCAGTTGTAAAATCTCTCTTGCATGCAAACAACATTTCAGGTGCATGTGAGAAAGAGGCCAGAGAACGTAGGCAGGGGGTGGTTGCGGCGTGAGCGGTCGGGGGCGCGACGGGAACGACGTGAAGGACGGAGGGACGGTGTGCTGATGGTTGGTGGTGGCGGTTGTCGTAGCGCGAGTTATTCGAAGTCATAAGCCAATCTGGAGTGCGCTGCCGCCAGTATTGATGACTATAAAGGTTTTTGCTTAATCAAAATCTCGAATAATTCCCGAACCGTGACAAATAATCGAGTGGAATTTATATTGAAATATCCGCCGCGCGTTACTTCATTAATTGCTACTTGAGATAGTTATTAGGTTTTGGATCTCCTCTAATTCGCTCGCATTTTAATTGATCCTCCGTACGTTTTACCAACTCCTGAAAGGAGTGTGCACAAATTAACGAGTTATCCGTACGAACTCCTTTTGTACCGCAGCCGCAATCACCGCGCGATCGCGAAACTACATTGCTGCCAACCTATCCGCCGATACGAAAACGCTACAAAAACTCACCCACACACACCAAACACCCCAACAGACGGCTGTCTCTCACGTACACCCCAACCGATCACACGCTAACGGGTTCGTGTTCGAAAATATTTCTTGAATAAACTTTTCAATGAATATTTGCAACGAACAACAATGGTAACTGCTAACTGACATAATAGATTAAATTTAATTAAAAACTTAATATCGAGGCGGAAAAGAAACTGTTAAAAGATCTGGTATTATAGGCGGATGATGTAGGAGAAACAGGAGGTAGGGCACCTTCTTACACACAAAGAGCTAGTAAAAAGTAAAGAATCAAGAGTAAAGTGAATAGCTTTGGATATTCTAGTTTTCGGAATAGCTCAAAACTCCAACGCCAAAACACGACACTGTAGTTGTCCGAAGCACTTTTCGGTAACAAGGTTATCTCCTTCTTGAGGGACTGAAGTGAACTTCTTCGTCTTCTTCTTCTGTTTGTTCTACAACAACCGCCAAAGTTTTTGCAATCTTCATATTTCGGAATATTGGAAGATTGATTCAAACTAAGAACGAGTGGATGTGCGTGACCTACCGAACTTCGGACCAATAACTTCTGATAAAGAGTTAATCGAAATAGCTTCA